TCACTATTTTCAAGCAAATCCACATTAATCTACTTCAAAATCAATCGGTTGACGATAAAAATCAATATATATAGATAACACTTGATCAAATATTTGATTTCAATTTCATTAACAAACTCTAACTAAGCACAACATGAAAATTAAAATTTTCTAGTATTTTGAAAATTACCTAGTTATTCTCAAAAGAACAAAAAAACCTAACGACATGAGAGTCGAGTGGACACGATTGCTGCTTGAATTCAACCACAGCAAAAATTTCCTCCCAATTAGCATCAAATCAAGAAGAGAAAAGCACAATTGTTGTTAACCATATAGAGAAGAGAAAAAAATTTAATTTCCAAAATAGTTTAATAGCTTAACCAAAAACTATGCGTGTGAAAAACAGGATTTGGGGAGGGTGTTGTCATTGTGCGTAGCGAGATGTGTGTGAAAAACATAGTGTGTCTGTGTATGTGTCTGTGTATTATGTCTGTGAGTGGACGTATGTTGTGTCTGTGTGTGAGTTAGTATGAAGACTCAGAGAGGAAGAATGTGACTGTGCATATTACTGTAGAGAGAGAGAGAGATTACCTGGATCATTACAGAGAAGAGGGGTTGATCTATGATGGGTGGATCCATGATAGAGAGAGAAAGGGGAGAATTAAGATCAATGGTGGGTCGCTGGTTATCGATGGTGGCTTGTTGCGTCACCGTTGGTGGCTTCATCGACGGGAGAGAAGTAAGAGTCATGAGACAAAGAGAGGGAGATGTTGGTTAATCGCGCAGAGGTTGAACCAGCGTAGGGGAGCAAGAGGTCTGAATTCTTCTAAGAGAGAGAGAGAAAGAGGAAAAAGCGAGAACATCTAATGAGTTGGGTTTGGGTAACGTGTAGGAGTGTTCTAATTTGGGCGGGATTTTGGTTTTGAGTGGGATGTATTGTGAGCCTTTGGATTAAATTAAAAGAATTGAGATCAAATCTAGACCATTGAGTTAAAATTAGATTAAATCTGATTCGTTCTTGTACTTTCTTAACTGAATTAGAAATGGAATAAATTTTAAAATAAAAATGAATTCAAAATGCATTGTATCTTATTATTATAGACATATATATATATATATATATATATATATATATATATATATATATGTGTAGAGAGAGAGAGAGAGAGAAGATGAGAAAGTGTGTTTAAAATCTCTAAGAGATAGAAGAGAGAGTGATATGAGAAATAAGAGTGTTATAGTTAAGTCCAATTATGATCGTCGGATCAGTATTTATAAGATGATCTGAACCGTCTTTTATGTTGGAATTATATTGTCCATTGGTTATGTTTATGTTTGGTTTCAAAACGATCTGGACTTCTCTTTGTCTCTAAAATTCAAATTCAGCTCTACTTTATTATATAGATTGGTGAGAGACACACTTATGTACAGTAGATCCCACTAAAATTCACAATGGGTAATCTCCCTATATAGTCTTGTTTCAATCGACAAGTTATAAGCTCTCCTATGCCCTCTCCATCATGTTTCTTGAGAGGTGTGCAAGTAGGCTTATCAATTATATCGGGTGAAGTAGATTCGTGTTGGGTCTTAACGAGTTTGTGTTAAAAAAAAAATAACACTCATACCTAATTCATTTGTTAATTCGTGCCTAACAAGTGTGTAATATTGGATTCGTGTTGTTTATGAACCGAATATGACCGGTACATAAACAAGTTGTGTTATGTATTTATTTTAATTAGTACTTATATCTTATTCGTTTATTAATTGTGTCATGTCGAGTCCACTCGTTTACAAAACTGGTGGCTTAAAAAAAGCTCAAACACTCTAATTTCATATCATGTACATATTGTATTATATTTTGACACTCCTATATACAGGTGTCTAAGAGAGAATAAAAGATAATAAAATTGAAAGATGCAATGCAATGTGCTTGAGTCTCCTTGATTCAAATTGGGAATTAGTTAGAGAAATCATGCAAAATCCACTTAAGACTTTAATAATACGAAAAATTGCAATTGATGTCTAAGGTTTAACTAAGGTATCGGACTTGCAACGATGACAATTGCTCACTCATTCAAATGATAATGGATATTTTCTACAAATTATCGTCTCTAATTCTCACTAACGAGAAGAATCTTATATATTGGATACGACAATTTAGGGTTGGTTCGATAATTTAATCACCCAACGGATTAGTTGGTGGACTCACCCACTTGGGTCATGGTGAAATAAAGTGGTCCGGTATGATCATCATATATAGTACAGCAGAGTTGTTAAAAAAGAAACTGTCAACTTCGTCAATTCGTGTGTAAATTTGCCCAACTACCTTCTTCCTCTCCAACTTTTTTTGTCCCATTTAGGTACACAACATGTAATATGCCAAACTTCAAAATCAAATCCAGTGTAAGTGGTTTGTGGGTCCTATTGTTCAAAAAAAAGGAAACTTCAAAATCAAACCAAATTGCAAAAAATTCAAACTGATCTAATTTGAGACCAAATAGATAGTCCAAATGATGGGACAAAATTTATATTTAATCTATTTATACTACTTAGGGTATCTCCAATATTGGCTCAAACTCAAATTCAAATTTGAATAAAAAACTTGATTTTGTACAAGACATTTTAATGGATAAACTCAAATTTAAAGTAGGAAAATTTCAAATTTAAAGTAGAATAAACTCAAATTTTAAGGAATGTGAAATATGATCATTGAATTTTTTAAAAAAATAAAATCTAACAATTAAAGATATGAGTAAATTTTGAGTTTATCTTAATTTGAGTAAAAAGTTAAGTCTTTCATCATTCAGTATAGGTTTGAATCACAAACTAAAGCTTATTTTTAGTCTGTTTTTACTCAAATTTAAATTTGAGTAAAAACAAACTAAAGAGTAGAGATAACCTTATAAATGTTAACATCTGTGAAAAAATTTTAATTTTTTTTTGTCTCTAATTATTATTATAAAATCAATGATACCCACATATTACTTTTATCAAATTTTTATTTGCTATACTTATTTGACTTATTTAATTAAAAGTATTTGACTCCTAAATTCTATATTACTGTCATCCAATTTTTATTTTTTACACTTATTTGACTTATAAGTTATTTTGGACTCTTTTATTAATAATATTTGACTCCTAAATTCTTTTAAACTCATTTAATAACAGTACACTTGCTTATGATTTTTTATATCTATATATTTTATATTTATAAGAAGAAACAAAGTTCAACCTATATTCTATTACTATATATATGTAGTTGTGAGATTGCATTCTACTATCAAATATGTCATATGTGATTTTTTTCGTATGTAATAATATCATATTATTATAATACAAATAATAATATTGGAATTTAATCAATTTTTTGACAAAAAATGCAATAGTAATATATAATATAATTAGATATGAAAGTACTGAATAATGACAATCTTATAATGAAATTTTATCATAAACAAAAGAGAAAATGTGTAATGGATCAGAGAGATACTTAAACAAATGATAAATTAAACACTCAAAGAGGGATAGTTTATATCTCTTTAAATATTTGAAATTTTGACGGTTGCATTAGGCCCGTTAATGAATCTGATTAGTCATATATAAATTGTTATTTTTGATCAATTATTCTAATTTGAATATGAATTCGCTATATATTATTCTATGGGTTCATCTTTAAATATATTAGTATCAAATTCTATGTAAATATAAACATATAATGTGCAATTAATTGATTATTTCATTGAAATGAAGTTAAATTTCAATTGTAATTTGCTAAAGTTTACCTTAAATTGAATTATTCGAGATTGAATCAGTTTTTTGATCGGATTCCAATTTTTAACGGACTCAGATATAAATTATAAATATGAATTCCATTGAATATTGTTAAATCGATTTCATTTCAGATCGGATTAATTTGATCCTGACAGAATGTACAAAGCAAATGGTTGCCCAAACTTAATGGACATTTTTGGTTATTTAAATTTCAAGAGCAAAGAAGGAATATAATGCAATTAGGATTTTATGGGAATAATTTATGAAAAGGAGGACTTTTTTTTTTTTTTGGCTATTATGAAAAAGAGGACTTTATTGTCAGAATAGAAATATATTAGGACTAAGTGTTTTTTTTTTATAGCAAATAGAAGTACTTTTATAAAAAAACCTGTTTGAGTTTTGATTTGTAAGGTATATGATTTGTATGTCCAATTCGACCCTATCGTGTCGCGTTTGTGTCATGTCATTATAGATTCATATCGAGCATTAGTCAAATCTTACATAACTCATTTAATTAATCGTGTCGTGTCTACCTAACCTGTTTATTTTTTTGTCATATTCGTATTAACCCATATATCTCTTAAATAAAAATTTAACGTTAAGATTTAAATCTAAAATTCTATTACTCTTAATTGAATTTATGCTTATATTTTTTTTATAAATTAAAAATTAACTTAATAAACATAACAATAAAAAAGATTAAAAATGTATTTTTTTTATAATCGTATTGACCCACACAAACTATGAATAAAAAATTTAACTCTAATATTCTATTTTCACTTAATTGAATCCATGTTTATACTTTTTTTACAAACTAAAAATTAACTTAATAATAATAATAATATCTTTTTCATACAATAATTATGTCAGTGCTCAATAAATAGTGACAAATAATTAACATTATATTTCTATAATACTAATTAAACATGTTAATTTCATATTATTCGTGTTACCATACAAATAATAAAATATTTATTCTTAGATAAACGAGATAATCATGTCAATTTCATGTTCGACGAGTTAAACTTAAATATGTCCCATTTATATTTCATGTTCGTATGTCAAATTATTTTTGAGTTCGAGTCGTTTCGTCGTATTGAGTCACAAATTGCCACCCTTAAGATGTGCCTATTGACATGCAAGCAAGTTTAATCCAATTCCATCCAAATAAGTTAGTAACATTATATTATATATATAATAGAGAACCAATAGATAGGGCTGCACCAACCACACTAGGAACAAACAAGGGACTCCCAAGGTTTTCAATAATCTCATACAGCTTCATCTCAACTCCAAAAAATTGTTGCAGATGCTTCAAAAAATGAAATTCCAATACAAATACTTTCTGGGAAAAAAAAAATTCCAAGAATATAAATCCAACCAACTAATTCATCCCACGCCCTGCGCTTAGTCGCGTGGGAGATTCCAGAAACACACGATTCAGCTGTCCATCATGGGTTCTTAATGATACCAATTACACAAAATCCACCATCCTACCAGTATAAGTACAATCATGCTGCATTTGAAACCAAAATTTATTGAAAACCAGTTCTTGAATCTGCAGAAAAAAACGCTGGTTTGGCAGGTACAGGACTCTTCATTCGCGTTCAGATACAGAAATCAAAGTAAAATACACAAAGATGTTACTCAGACCAAAACTTCACAAAGGCAGCAACAAATGCTTTAAATAATGCCAACAGCGGATTAGTTTCAGGTCCCAAAGATTTCACAGATTTCCCTTCCCAGGATTCACTGTTCAAAGGAAGCCAAAGCAATAGCTTAATCAGTGGCAGCCAAAGAAAAGTGCAGAGGTTGCTTTCTGCAATTTACAACTTACTATGAAACCTTATGTCATTTCAAAAAGTATGGATTACTCGAGATACTTACAGATTGATTCTGTCAAAAGTTACGCTGCTTCCTCCCTGGGAGCTGCCACCATGTTGAATATCAAGTTTGTTTTTAATCAAAATTGCCTCTTCAGAAATTGAGTGCCCGTGAGAACTGATGTTGCTAGTGCTGTTGAGAGTTTCAGCAGAGATGCTTTTTGGAGTATTCACAGGCTTCAAAGATACAGAAAACAGTGCCCCCAACAAAATTAGGCCACATGTTTATTAAAAAGCACGGAAAAAAAATACAATTCTCACCCAATCAACAATCACAGTGCATTATTTACAAATTATCAGTCACCATCTGACTAAGGACATTCATCCAAAAGAGGTCAGCCAAAGATTATATCACCAATGCCGAATAATGGATTGGCCACCATCAAGACGTAAATACACACCAAATAGGCAGGAAAACTAATAATCAGTACTGAAGCCATGTTACTAGCATATCAGGATCGCAACATCCTAATAACTTACCACAGGGTAATCACTCTGAGGCCACTAAAACGATGAATTATGGACATCTATGCTAACCATTGCAAAAACAAATCCCAAATACAACAATATCCATAGGTAAGTGAGACGAGTTTTAGGATGTAGAATGTACACTTGAGCTACAAATTGTTGGGGGTAAACAATAATTATAAATTGTTGTATGCTTGTATGTGGTTCAGACATTAGATGAGAGCTAAATGTAGAGGCCATCACTAAAATTGCATTTATATTTATTACCATATTTGTAAATAAAATGATATTCAGTCACTAAGATATTGGTTGATTAAATTCCAAAAAAAAAACTAAGGATGAAGAGAACCACGCAGGCACAGGTTCTAAACTCCTTAACATCCACCAAGAAAAGCTCATCATATCGTAAAAGCAATAAAAGATTTAATCTAACAATTGCATGAAACCATTTCATTGAGTTGGAGATCAGAACTTCAATTTCGCCCTGTTCTCCCAATTTATGGATTACGCAGTTCGACCCAGTAAAATAACAAATAAATAGGAATATTGAAGGCATTCTGAATGTGCAACAAGTTTTAATGGCTCCAGGCTAGTTACATTGCATTTCAAGGTAGATATGATCTTGAATAGAGACTAGGACAGATGATAGGGATCACACATGATTATGAAAATATAAAATTCAGGTAATTCATAGAAACAGAATGCCATGGAATTGAATTAAATCATTATTCAAGGAGTCAGTTATACCCTCATGAAATTCTAGAATTTAAAAGATTGTGCAATAGTTGAAGAACTGCAATTCATACGAAAACCATTCCTAATGCCACTGTTTCTTCTTCTATGACATCAAATCCAAAAGTTGCGCTAATATGGAGATCAGCACAATTGTCATCTATTGCGTAAGTGGTAGTGATTGCCAAATTCTTTATTGATTGTATCTGATATTTCATATAAATTCAGAAAAAACTTTAGGCTTTTAGCATTACGTTTCTGCACTAAAGCCTCTCATCCTATGCCAACTCATGCTGCAGATGATAAGTCAGCTGGAAACTCCCGATAAAAAACTGATCTAAAAGCCAAATTCATGTTCTACATGTGAAACCCAACCCTCTAAAGGCATGGTATATTAACACCCCCACCCCCTAAAACCCAAAAAAAATACCAATAAGTCCTTCTTTTCCTCCAAAAAAACCATTAAATCCTATCCTATTTATCTTGGGACAATTAAGTCCTACTTTTGAAAATTTATTCCTAAGAAATCCTAAACTCCATCAATAAGATATTTCGTTCCAATTTTATCCTGCCCATCAACACAACCATTAAATTTTTACCAATAATAGTTGTTATTAGTGTCCCAAAACAAATCAATATTTTTCTAATTAGTGCATAAATGAAACAAGCAATTAACAATAAAGACTTCCAGAAATGATAAATCGTGCAACTCTACCTTTTCTTATATTTAATTCTTTTAAGCATATGAATTTCGACTCATCCAACTATTAAATCTCTTGCTCAAAAAAAAACTATCAAATCTCAACCATAAAAACATGTAATTATATAAATTAACAATGAAAAAACAAATCTATGAATAAAATCATTGAGAAAAGTTCATCTAACTACATTTTTTTTTACTTCCCCTTCCACATTTTGAATTAATTAGAAAAGAATTACTGTTTTAAGGCATAACAAAAAAAAAACAATTCAGAATTCGAAGCTACAACATCATATTTAAGAGATAAAATAAAAAATATTTATGTATATTATAACACTGCACTATGTAGGATTCATTCGCATATGAACTCTTATATATCAATAGGGTGGATGCTTTGATAATTAAAGGTATAACTTTCATGGACTTTAATTTGAGATAAAAAAAATTACTTGGATTTTAATTTGAGATACAAAAATCATATACCAATAGATAAAATTAAATATAAAATTATAAAAAAAAAATATGTAATTTGTGAGTTCGTGGTGGATAAATTGGAACAAAACAAACCGTTAATGGAGTTTAGGACTTTTTGGGAATAAATTATTAAGAATAGGACTTAATTGTTCTAGGATAAATATGATAGCACTTGATGGTTATTTTAGAAAAAAAGTAGGACTTATTGGTGATAAAAAACACTCCAACAAAGAAAAGAAGAGACAAAAGAAAAACCCTTCCCCAACCCCACCAAATAAAAAGGTATAAAGAATGCATGTATACACATGCTAAGTGCCATACCCAAAACCAAATGCATGCACAAATAAAGATCAACAAAAACTCACCATAATTCTACTGGGTGAAGCATCCTTGACTTCAAGGTTTGTGCCATCGTTACTATCAACCACAATGCTTCCTTTAATTGAAGGGCAAGTTGGACTTTCCAACGATGAGTCTCCAATGTCAATCGTTGCTTTCTCATCCATCAATCCACTATTCTGTTCCAAAAGTGTACCTGCTTGGTTTGCAGTAGCTTTCTCATCAATCAAACCATAAGAGTCCTCTACAAAGTTCATTTCATTTGGTTTGCTGTTTCTTGCTTCCAGTTTCATGGTTTGAGTATCCTTCTCTTTCAAAGTTCCACTTGCATCCTGTGGCTCACCTGATTTTCCGTTCCAGCCATTAATTGCGTTAGAAACAGGCCTTAGTGGAAATGTCTCTACCACTACATCTGCTATAGGATGAGTCATTCTAGGTTTGGATGTTTCTAGTTCTTTTGCTTCAATTTCCTCTCCATCCAAACTTTCTCTTACTTCTGACTCTGTATCTATTGGCTCATCAGATTCTTCCATTTCTTCCACTGCCTGACTAGTACTATTTTGTCCATTCTCAGAACTCTGATACTCAGGTTCAGGAAACTTCCCATTAGCATATAAATTATGTTCTTCACTTTTACCTTGCTGATAACTGGGTACATGAGTTACAAATGATTCATCAGATTCTTCAATTCTTACAACTGTTGTACTGTTCCCATCAACAAATTGTTCATTTTCAAACTGCTGATACGTGATTCCAGGAGACTGCATCGTAGAATTTAGAACCTGCTCCTCACATGCACTATGATGATTACCTTGCTGATAATTGGGTACATGAGTTTCAAATGATTCATCAGATTCTTCAATTCTTTCAATTGTCGGACTGTTCCCATTAACAAATTGTTCATTTTCAAACTGCTGATACTCAGTTCCAGGAGACTGCATCGTAGAATTTAGAACCTCCTCACGTGCACTTTGATGATGACTGGGTACAATATGAGCTATATTGATCTCATTTGATGAGGCCAAATGTGTTTGAGGTTCCAAGGAAATAGATCCCAATGGATATTGTTCAAAAAATATATCATTGTTCTGTTGCTCGTCTGGAGAAATCTTGGCTGGACCCAACACTCTGTTTTCTTGGATTATCTCTCGGACAATTTCCCGGACTGTATAGAAAGACCCACCAACTTCTTTGTGTGTGAGATTGAGTGATGGGAAACTCCCGTTGTTTGACTTCTGATATCTGCAAGCAGTCAAATAGAGAAGTGGGAAATCCAGGATACATATAAGATGCTGCAGTCCGACAAAATGAAATGTAAATCCAAGAGTTCAATAACCTTTGATCATTCAGCAAATTCTGGAGTAACATATATTGAGTCATTAAGTTTCACAAATATATCAACTTAGCACTAAAAATAAGATTCTAGGTAAAACTGCAATTTTAGTTCGTTTTTTATGATTCTTCAGAGAGAGAAAGAAGGAAGAGTGCGAGTCCGATTAAGTATTCAGAAAGCAGAAGTCAGTCCAACAAAGTATTCTGTTGCTCATACTACCAACACTGCACACAACAAAGCACCTAAACTAAATTACTCTGGGTAGTAGAATAGAAGTACAGTAGTTGTATCTCCCCCCAAAATTGAAATTTTTTTGGCTTAAGGTTGGTTTCTATCAAAAATGAAAGCAGTAGCTAATATCATTAATGATTACCTATCCATCAAATATGTATGGCACATTAGTTAAGCATGGTTTATAATCAAGACATCAGATGAGAACGTATGCTCTATTTGAAAAAACTCAAATACAATATCATCAAAATTATCCACCAAGTTTGTCCATATAATACTTCAAAAAAAAACAAAACACGTTGCATTGCTGACTAAGACCGCATTTAGCATTTGCATATACAAACACAAAGAAGACGGCACAATAGAAAAGAGAGATGTAATTCTTAGTGGTTCCAGTAATCTTTAGCAATTTCTCATTGACCCGTTAAGACAGGGTGAAAATTTAGCAAGAAAATCAGAAGGAACTATAGAGAGATTACTTTTTTATGAAAGACTCAACCATTGCCTTCCTCTCCTCTTTTGACCGCCGAACACGTGACTTCCTGCCTCCAGAATCATTGCACTTAGCAAGAGCAAATGTTTGCCCAACCCATCCGCCCTTAATAGCATGCATTGTGCTGAAAATGTCCACCAGCACAACAGATTCAAACCTACATGTAACCAATTCAAAACTGGATGCTTGTACATCAGTTTCGTGTTAATGAAAACCCATATCTAGGCTATAATTATCTACAGTGTCTCAGTAAACAGCACAAAATTCAAAACCGAGTTTTTCAGCTGCAGTTGGTTTCATTAGGGACTAGGCATAGAGCACAGATTCAAACAAAGTAGACCTACAGAACGTTCTTTGGCAGATCATCCAGATGGTGATAGCGAAGGACTAAACTAGGCATCCAGAATTCAAGTTGTCTACTTCCCCCAGGGATCCAACATGAAAAGTATGAAATTCACATTGTGCTGCATTTGGCAGCTTGGAATTAAAGCTTTGATTGTGGGATTCGAGGAAAATTCATTTGAAGTTTCAAGTAAAAGGGCCTTCAATAAAAATGCTAAAGTCCCAATTCCAGGCTACTGATGCTGTCAAACACAATATTTAACTGTCCCACTTGTTTTTCAAATTCGAATGAAGTATAAAGGGTCAAGCAAATGGTCAGAATAACGTAATAAAAAAAATGAGTTCTAAAAATACATAAAATTCAGAAAATGGAGAAAAAAATAGCCCATCTTATGTTTGAGAAAGTATGAGATCTCAATAGCATGTATAGAACAGAATGAACAATGAAAACAGAAAAATAAGCAATGAGATGCCAAAAACCCTAGGTTTTCTAGCAATCCATGTAGACAGGTATAAATGTGTGCGTGTGTGTGTGTGTGTGTGAGAGAGAGAGAGAGAGAGAAAGAACCCTGCGCTCAATTGAGTCTAGTACAACACCAGGCCTAGCTACAGTCTCTATTTCACCTCAAAAAAACCAAAACAGCATTCAGCAGCTAATTTTTCTCGTTTCTATTTTCCCCCGTCTTCTCAGGAACCAATCAGAGAAAATTTAGCATAATACACTTGCATTCTTTGTACCCTAGTGGCTTTGGATTCGAAATCCAAAACCCACCCAAAGTCAGGGGTTTAAGGGCCGCTAAACACACACACACACACAGAGTGGGGAGAGAATTGAGCAAAACACAACCATCACACTCACCTTCAGTTAACACCATCATTTCACAGCAACCAACACATTATTGAACAAAAAGCTCAAATTATTTCCATTTTGTCTACTTTCCCACATTTTCAGACCAACAAAACAGAGCATTTTCAGAACAATCTTACAGATAAGAATGGCAAACAGATTTGAAAAATAGCAGCTAACAAAAAAAAACATATGAGCGAGAGTTAGAGGGAGAGAGAGTGAGAGAGAGAGAGAGAGCGAGTAATACCTGGGTTTTTAAGGAAGAAGTAGAAAGCTTGGTAGTCTAGAAACCCTACCCCTCTCCACACGAGACAGTCTACACACAGGAGAGCGAAACAGTGAAACATTCCAATGCCATTATTCCAGGCAGTCGGCAAAGGGTGGGTAGGTGAGTAATTATTCTAAGATTGGGTGGTAATTGAAAAACGTAACGATAACTATCATTCAACCTTAAACTTTGAAAATTAATTAAAAAAAAATGAACTATGACCTTATTTATGATATGCTATTTCTTCGATTCGTCTTAATTCCCTTCCACTCTTCTATATAATAAAATAATTTATGTGTCGTTTGCTAACTCAAAATTTTTGTTTTTTTCTATTTTTGTTTTCAATATTTGTTAAATGGTTTGTATTTTTGTTTTTTTTTAATCAAATTGTTTTAAAAACAAGGTAAATGATGTTTTTGAAAACACAGAAAAACGAAAACACGCGGCATTTTGGGAGGTTTTTAATGAGGTCCAGCCTTCGACTTTTATTAGAAGCAAAAAATAAGACATTTTTGTGGCACCTTTATAAAGCAAAAACAAAGCTCCTATCTCACTCTCTCTCTCACCTGTGGGTCTGCGACTGTGGCGAAGCCCGCAGGTTTGTGGGATCCAAATCAGCGAAGCTCTGTCTGGCGAAGCTTTCTCCGATGAAGTTCTTCACTTTCTCCGACAGTAAAGCTTTCCACTTTCTTCTCAATCTGTAATTTTATTTGTACAGATCAGGGGATTTTTCTCCCTCAGATCTGGTTTTTCGGTGGGTTTCAGGGCTATTACAGCTGGTTTTTTGGGGCTACAGCTGGTTTTGGGTTTGTGTGTGTATCGGTGGTGTAAGCGTTGGTGTATCGGTGGTTTTTCTTCATCTTCATCTTCAGCTCTTATGGGTTGGTGTATCGGTGGTGGTTTTGGGTGGGTTGGCTGGTGGGTTTTGGGGTTGCAGCAACTGGGTTTCCTCTGTGTGTGCATCGGTGGTGGTGGACTGTTATTGGTGGTGGTTTTGGGTGGTGGGTTTTGGGGTTGCAGTAGCTGGGTTTTCTCTGTGTGCGTATCGGTGGTAGTGGACTGTTATTGGTGGTGGTTTTGGGTGGGTTAGGTGGTGGGTTTCGGGGCTATTGTAGCTGAATTTTCGAGTTGTTGCAACTGGGTTTTCGGGGCTGGTGATGGTGGATTTGGTGGTGTTGGTGGTGGGTTGGATGGTGAGTTTTCGGTGGTTAAGTGGTGGCTAAACAGGGGTGATGGTGGTGGGTATTCGGTGGTATTGATGGTGGCCCAATAGATGAGTTGGTGGTGGGTTTTGGAAGGGTGGAGAAGATGGTGGCTAGGTGGGGTGGGTTTTCAGTGAATTGGGTGAGAATGTATGTAGAATTAAAAATTTAATTAAAAAACAACAATAAATTATGGAAACAATATTATAATATCAAACAGATTTTTTATTTTTGTTTTCACAAAATAACAAACATGTTTTATATTTTTAATTTTTATCACAAAAAAATAAAACTTAGTTTTATTTTTTTTATAAAAAAAAACATAAAAACAAAAATATTATCAAACGCACCCTTATAATTCAAATCTCAAAAGATAAACAAAATAATTTTTATTATTCACGGTTAAAATCGTTTTAAATTTTATTTTAAAATTAATTTAACGGCTAATATTAACACCCTAAATTTAATACAAAAAATAGGTCCATAAAAGTGTTTGTAGTGACTTTTTAAAAGTATTTTTAGAAATTATTTCTTATAAATATTTTTTTTTTAAATATTGTTTGAAACCACTTCACCACTATCTCTACCACCATCGCCGCCACCACCACCGCCACTGTCGTCGCCGCCGTCCTCGTCGCCACCACCACCATGGTCATTGCCACTCACCACAACCATCACCGTCTCTTACCACCACCACTGTCGCCTACTACCTCTCATCTCTACTACAAACCGTTACTTAAATTTTTTTATCTCTTCTCTATGTTTGTGATTTAATTTTAAATATAAATACAAATATATTTATTATTTATCATTTTTTATTACTATGTGCCTTCAGATACAGACAATAAACTAGTTTCTTATATCAAATCAGAGGGCGTTAACTTTGACTTGTTGATATGAATCTGATATAAATGATTATAAAATTAACATAGATTATTAATTATGAATAATAAATAGTTTAAATTAATATTTAATACTCATAACATACTGAATTTTTTTTTTCGTGGATCTTGATACGAACACGACACAAATAACATTACATACGGGGTAACACGATTGGGACCCAGTTTAAGGGTAACATATTTGGTCATTCTTCTCTAAAATTCTGATTATCACATGGAAAATAAATGGTCTGTTTTGACACTTATAAAAAATTAATTAAAATAATTTTAACTATTCAGTGTTTAAATTAAATATAATTAAAAACTTATAAGATAATTTTAAAGTCGGGGTTATAGTTGAAGTTCAACTGTTGAAGGCCCATTTATGATATTTACGATTTTAAATGGGCTTATGTGAATCTGAACCAATGTGGCACAGACCAGCCCATTTATATTTCTTTGGAGGCAACTCTTTAGACTTCGCCTCAAGGAAGTCATGCTCATTTACTTCTTAGGAGGCAAGAGTTTAAGACTCCGCTTTTGGGGTCATGCCCTTTCCCTAAGAACATGCTTCTTTATTTATTTGGAGGCAAGAGTTTTAAAATTCCGCCTCTAGGGCTTTACCCCTTCCAAGACAACACTCTTAGCAAAAACAAGTCTTGATCTCTCAAAAATAGTAATTTTTCAAATTCATACATTCCAAGGCCGAAGTACAGTATTTTCCTTCCATATCTTCTAACTTGTATGACCCTGAGCCTCCTACTAACATAATTTTGTATGGCCCTTCCCAATTAGATCCAATTTTTTCATCGATTGGGTCACGGGTATTCCCGACTACTATTCTGAGCATTAGGTCCCCCACTTGAAATCTTCGGGGCCTTACTCTTTTATTGTAGAGTTTGGATACCCCTTCTTGGTATTTAACTAACCTCAAAGCAGTCATTTTTCTTCTCTCCTCTGCAAGGTCTAAGTCCAAGCTAAGTTGATGATCATTGCCTCATGTGTCAAAAGTTTGCATCCTTATAGTAGGGAGGCCTACTTCCAGTGGGATAACCGCCTCTACTCCGTATGCAAGGGCGTAAGATGTTTCACCTGTTGAGGTCTACGAAGTCGTCCTGTAAGCCTAAAAGACGCTCAGAAGCTCATCCATCCATTTTCCCTTAGCTTTCTCCAATATTTTCTTGATTTCGTTGATGATGGTCTTGTTTGAAGACTCCGCCTACCCGTTGGCTTATGGATACAAGGGCATGGAGTAGTAGTTTCGGATTCCAAGATGCTCACAAAAAGACATGAATGGTCCACTGTTAAACTGGGTCCTGTTATTTGACACAAGTGCACAGGAGACTCCAAACCTTGTGACTATGTTCCTCCATATGAACCTTTTGGTGTCCGCGTCTTTGATATAAGTCAATGACTCTGCCTCAACCCACTTTATGAAGTAATCAATCTCAACTATAAGGAATTTCTTGTCTCCAGGAGCACTTGGGAGGGGTCCAACTAAGTCGAGTCCCATTGGGCAAATGGCCAAGGACTAGTTAGTGGGTGCAAATCTCCTACTGGCTACCTAATGGCTGGAGTGAACCTTTGACATTGATCACATTTTTGAATATAAGCTTGTGTATCTCTTTGAATCCGCAACCACCAGTATCCATGCGACATAATGAGATCCGCCATTAACCATCCACTCGAGTGCCCCCCACATGTGCCTTCATATACTTCATATAGGAGGGGCTCAACTGTATCTTCGTGAACACAAAGCAAATAGGGTTCGGAGAACGATTTTCGGTACAACTTTTGATCCAAGGAGGCCTAGAACCTCGAGGCCCTTAACTTTATTCTCCTAGCTTCCTTAGGACATTTAGGGAGTTCCACAGAAATAAGGTACTTGAGTAGCGGATCAATCTAGCTAGGGGACTCCTCCCCCTCTAGGATGGTTGCCACTCCGGGGTTGTCGTCTATGCTGGAGTTGGGAAGGAACTCCACAATGATCCTCCGTGTCATGTCGAAGCTAGACATGCCAAGGCATCAGCATGGACATTCTTACTCGAAGGACTTACTTGACTTCTACCTTCTTGAACTAGTGGAGCAGGGTCATGGCCTCATGGTGATAGGCTTTCATTCTTGGATCCCTTGCTTCGGATTCCTCATTGATCTGATTGACCACCAATAAGGAATCACAATGGACCGTTAGCTCTACAGCTTCTGCTGCGTCGGCAAGTTTGAGTCCAGAGATAAAACCTTCATATTCCGCCTTATTGTTGGATGTCTTGAGCCCAGTCGTACGTCTTGCTTCGTGACCAATCCCTCTGAGGAGACTAATAATACCCCGATTCTAAAACCCTTGCTGTTAGAAGATCCATCCATGTAGAGTCTCCAAGAGTGCTCTTGGTTGTCCGTAAAGGGCTCCACCTCGGGGGGAGATGGCTTCCCCTTTGTGAATTCATCTATGAAGTCTGCTAGCACCTGACTCTTTATTATTGTGCGAGGTCTGTAGTGGATATCATGTTTCCCCAACTCCACGACCCACTTTGCATTCTTCCGGAGAGTTCCATCTTCCTTAGAATTGCCTTCAAAGGCTGATCCGTTAGGAGGGTGATTGGGTGTGCTTGAACGTAATGTCTTAACTTTCTTATGGTTGTGACGAGCGCCAAGGCAAGTACCTTGTCTCCGCATCCAACAGAGTTTTACTTGTATAATATACTGGCTTCTGCTCATACTCATGCTCGCAGATTAATACGCCGATCACGGTGAATTCAAAAATGGCCAAGTAAAGGAACATCTATCCCCTCTCTGGGGTGGATGGGTTCGGGAGGACCCTAAGGTACTCCTTGATCTCTCCGAGCACTTCCTCACATTCTTCATTCCAATTATCCTTCTTGGACCTCTTGATTGCCCTAAAGAAAGGTTTGTACTTGTCCGACAACCGAGATATGAAACAATTTAAGG